GTATGATTTTTGGCATCATCACTACCTATACATACAAATACTCCTCTCTGTACAACAATGCACAATTGATTGTTCTCTCAAATGCAATGACATTTTCTAACTACTACATTTATATATTGCCAAGAAAGTACAAAGATAATTATTATTATTTTCTCGCATTTTTGATATATCTATAATAATGTCTAATTCTAATTAAATTCATTTTACAATTTTTTTTCCCCCACCATCATTTCACCATAGATACGAACATTAATTTAATCATTGTTTTGTGAAGTTTTTCAACCAAGTCTAAATTCCATGAAGTTCTCTAGATAATAGTGTTGTGTCTGCAGAGTTTTAATTCTCGCACATCTAAGAAAAAGGACTGAAATGGTTTATGAGTTATGACCCTGATGAACTTGCCAGAATTAACTTACTAGACAACAATCAAGAAATCATTGGCTATAAAAATCTACTAAAATTTAAAAGTGAACACCAAAACAGTACAAAACATGAATGAAAATTGTGCTTTTGCCAAGCACCAATAACAGACGAGTCCCAAGAGAACAGTTCAAAGACAGATTCTCAAAACATGAACACTTAAATAATCTATAGGAAGGAAGAAACAAATTTCATTCTCAATCAACTTCCTCAATCTTAGGGCCTGGACCTGTGCCACCAGAAGAAGGCCCGTCCTCATCCATGCCTCCGCCCATGTCAGGGCCAGCAGCACCACCCTGATACATTTTTGCAATAATCGGATTGCAAATACTTTCCAGTTCTTTCATCTTGTCTTCAAATTCATCAACCTCTGCAAGTTGATTCCCTTCTAACCATTGTATGGCCGAGTCGACAGCATCCTCAATTTTCTTCTTGTCAGCAGCAGGAAGTTTGGAAGCAATCTTCTCATCCTTGATAGTGTTTCTCATGTTGTAGGCGTAATTCTCCAAAGAATTTTTGGCCTCAACTTTTTTCTTCAGTTCCTCGTCCTCAGCCTTGTATTTCTCCGCATCTTGTACCATCTTTTCGATTTCTTCCTTGGACAGTCTTCCCTTATCATTTGTAATGGTAATCTTGTTCTTTTGACCTGTTGTCTTGTCCTCAGCCGAAACATTCAAGATGCCATTGGCATCAATGTCGAAACAGACATTTATCTGAGGAACACCCCGAGGTGCTGGCGGTATGCCAGACAGCTCAAACTTCCCGAGCAAATTGTTATCTCTGGTTCGGGTTCTTTCACCTTCGTACACTTGGATCAAGACACCAGGCTGGTTGTCCGAATACGTGGAGAAAACTTGCTCCTTCTTAGTTGGGATTGTTGTATTTCTCGGAATAAGGACAGTCATTACACCTCCTGCAGTTTCCAAACCAAGAGACAAAGGAGTGACATCCAATAACAACAAATCTTGAACCTTCTCATTGCCCTCGCCACTCAAAATCGCAGCTTGAACAGCCGCACCATACGCAACAGCCTCATCGGGATTGATGCTCTTGCAGAGCTCCTTTCCGTTAAAGAAGTCTTGTAGCAATTGTTGTACCTTCGGAATACGAGTCGAGCCACCAACAAGTACAACATCATGGACACTGCTCTTGTCCATCTTAGCATCCCTCAGACACTTCTCGACTGGTTCCATACACGTCCTAAACAAATCCATATTAAGTTCCTCAAATCTAGCACGAGTGATAGTCGTGTAGAAATCAATGCCCTCGTACAAAGAATCAATCTCAATAGTAGTCTGGGCAGTTGAAGATAACGTTCTCTTTGCCCTCTCACAAGCAGTTCTCAATCTCCTAAGCGCTCTCGGGTTGCCACTAATGTCTTTTTTGTGCTTCCTCTTGAACTCCTGTACAAAGTGATTCACCATCCGATTATCAAAATCCTCTCCCCCAAGATGTGTATCACCAGCTGTTGACTTAACTTCAAAGATACCCTCTTCAATGGTAAGAAGAGAAACGTCAAAAGTACCACCCCCGAGATCAAAAATCAACACATTCTTCTCAAATGAACTTCCCGCCTTCTTGTCAAGACCATAAGCAATGGCAGCAGCCGTAGGCTCATTAATTATGCGCATCACATTCAGACCAGAAATAACACCGGCATCTTTTGTCGCCTGACGCTGAGAATCGTTGAAATAGGCAGGTACCGTCACTACAGCATTCTTAACTGTCGATCCAAGGTAAGCCTCCGCAATCTCCTTCATCTTAGTGAGGACCATGGATGAGATTTCCTCAGCTGAAAATTGCTTCTCCTCACCTTTGTATGAGACAACAATCATGGGTTTGTCACCAGGCCCTGCAACAACCTTGAATGGCCAGTGCTTCATGTCACTCTGAACCGACGGATCACTGAACCTTCTACCAATCAACCTCTTGGCATCTGTATGTAGGAATGAATATATATAATCAACAGCAAATTCACGAACCATAATCATACACCCAAATAAATTGCAGGTACAATGAATTAATCATTAATTTTCAGAGCAATATGAACAAAGCGAACCAGAAAGGTGCTCAAATTAACTCTCCATGTGTAAGGCGTAAGCAAATATGTATACCATTCAGATTGAACAGCTAATTGAATTAATTTTGAACTAAGCATCAGCAGAACAAATAATTCAATAATTTTACACACCAGCTATGTACATACTTCTATACACAAAAATTTAGTACTACTATTTAACATGAGAGGTGTTATTTATTTATTTTTTTTTTTTTTTTCCCTAACCGAATTCACCGTCTTAGGGTGGCACCAACTATTAGAGATTG